CCCCCCCCCCCCCCCCCCGTGGTGTCCCCTGCACTTTCCCCGTGGGGACACATAGGGACCACAGAGGTGCCACCGCATCACCCTGCTTTTGGGGACATCAGTGACAGGGACAGGGAGCATCCCCAGTGCCACCAGTGTCCCCAGGGTCACCGGAGGGGGGGTGTCCCCATCCCCAGGGTCACTGCAGCCAGGGACATCAGGGCCACCACTGTCCCCATGGTGGCCCTGGGATGCTGGGGACAGTTTGGGGACAGCTTTGGGATGCTCTGGGTGGGCAAGTTGAGGCGAGCCTGGGCAACAGCTTGGGGACAAGTTGGGGACAGCTTGGGGACACTCCCAGCCGTCACGTGGCCCCGGAGCGAGGGGAGGTGTGTGACACGGGGCGGGGGTGACACCCTCCGCCACACACGGGCTCCCAGCCACCCCCACGCCTTGTCCCCAGCGCCGGGGACAGCACGCGGCCGAGGAAGACGCACGCCGGCACACGCTTGGGCATGCCTTCGCACGCGTGTGCAACGCGCTTGCACGCGTGTGCGCGCTCCGACGCGCTTGTGCCGTTGCACGCCCGCGTCAGGCACACGCGGGCTTGCGCACACGCCTGTGTCACGCACGCGTCACGCACGCTCATGCTTTGCATGTGCATCGATGCGCTGTTGCACGCTTGCACCACGCACGCACACGCTTGTGCTACATGCTTGCACCACGCTCATGCGCTTGTGCTAGCGCACAAACGCGTGCTAACGCACGCTTGCAGCGTGCACACGTGCTTGTGCCATTGCACGCTTGCACCATGCACGCACGCTTGCAGCGTGCACACGTGCTTGTGCCATTGCACGCTTGTGCCATTGCACGCTTGCACCACGCACGCACACACTTCTACGTGCACACACGCGCTCATGCTACCAGCACCGTGCGCACGCACGCGCTCGTGTAAGCGCTCGCGCTCCCCTGCTACACGCTCGTGCACGTGCCCACCCGTGTCTGTGCACCCACACGCCTTTGCAGCCGCACGGGTGCGTGCATAAGCGGGGCTGCGTGCGCCCAGGCGTGCGCCCACGTGCACGCCCCACGCGTGTGCACGGCCGTGCCCGGGGCTGCTCCGGCAGCGGCTGTGGATGCCAGATAAGCCACCGGAAAGCACCGCCTGTGCGAGGCCTTGCTGGGAAAGCAGGAAACCGCCGGCTGCGGCACCCTATGTGCCACGACCGGTGCTGGGCTGGGTGCTGAGCACCGGCTGCCAAAGGCCGGGCACCCAATGGCATGCAGCACCCTGCACCAAATGCCATGCAGCACCATGCACTAAGTGGCATGCAGCACCGTGCACCGAGCAACGTGCAACAGCGTGGGCCGAATGTCTTGCAGCAACGCACGCTTGCAGCCATGCAGCACTGTGCACCGAGCGGTGTGCAGGACCATGCACCGAATGCCATGCAGCACCGTGCACCAAAGGCTATGCAGCACCGTGCACCGAGTGACGTGCAACACTGTGCACCAAATGCCACGCTGCACCGTGCACTAAGGGCCATGCAGCACTGTGCACCGAGCGGTGTGCAGGACCATGCACCGAATGCCATGCAGCACCGTGCACCAAAGGCTATGCAGCATCGTGCACCGAATGCTGTGCAGCACCGTGCACCGAAGGCTATGCAGCACCGTGCACTGAGCGGCGTGCAGCACCATGCACCAAATGCCCCGCTGCACCGTGCACTAAGGGCCATGCAGCACCGTGCACCGAGCGGCATGCAGCACCGTGCACCAAATGCCACGCAGCACCATGCACCCAGTGGCGTGCAGCACCGTGCACCGAGGGTTGTGCATCAAGCAACGTGCAGCATCATGCACTGAGCACCGTCCTGCACCGTGCGCTGAGGACTGAGCACCAAGAGGCGTGCAGCACCGTCCAGCACTGTGCACCGAGGGCCGTGCAGCAACGTGCACGAAGGGCTGTGCAGCACCGTACGCCGAGGGCCGTGCAGCATCGTGCGCTGAGCGCTGCCCTGCACCATGCGCCGAGGACTGGGCACCGAGCGGCGCGCAGCACCGTGCACCGCGGGCCGTGCGCTCAGCGGCGCCACGCAGCACCACGCGCTGAGGCCGTGCACCGAGGGGCGTGCAACACCGGGTGCTGGATGCCGTCCAGCACCATGCACCAAGAGCCATCTACCGAGCCCTGAGGGCCTCATCCAGCCCCCCAGTACGGTCCCATACAGTCCCATAGGTGCCCATATGGTCCCAAAGAGGCCTATACGGTCCCCTATGGCCCCGTACAGCCCCACATGGCCTCTTGACCCCACGGTCCCCTATGGAGTTCAGAAGAACGCGTGGTCACCTATGGAATCCCCCCAACCCCATCGTTCCCTATAAGGTCCCCGTGATCCTGTGGTCTCCTACGGAGTCTTCACAACCCTGTTGTCCCCTCCAGAGTCCCCATCATCCCTGACAGGGTTCCTGTCATCACCTATGGAGCCCCCACATCCCCTACGATACCTCCAAGACCCTGTTGTCCCCTATGGAGTACCCACGTCCCCTGTAGAGCCCACACGATCCTGTTGTCCCCTGTGAAGTCCCCGTGACACCTCCACAGCTCCCTTGTCCCCTACGGTGTCCCCATGACCCTGCCATCCCCTACAGGGTCCTCACATCCACAAAGAGTCTCCATGACACCATCATCCCCTATGGAGTCCCCACGTCCCCTATGGGGTCCTCACAACTCCACTGTCATCTACAGAGTCCCCATGACCCCTATGGAGTCCCCACAACTCCATTGTCCCCTACGGGATCCCCATGATGCCATCATCCCTTACAGGATCCCCATAGGTCGGTCATCCCCTACAGAGTCCCCACGGCCCCTGCGGTGTCCCCTATGGCCCCATCGTCCCCTATGGTGTCCCCACCACCCTCTTGTCCCCTACAGAGTCCCCACGGCCCCTGCGGTGTCCCCTATGGCCCCATCGTCCCCTATGGTGTCCCCACCACCCTCTTGTCCCCTACAGAGTCCCCACGACAACTATGAAGGCCTCACCACCCTGTTGTCCCCTATGGTGTCCCCATAGCCTGTTGTCCCCTATGTGTCCCCACGTCCCCCTGACACCCCCACCATGCAGATCCAGACCACGTTGTCAGAAAGGACTTTTTTTAACCC